CCTCAAACCAATGATTGTCAAGCAAACTATATAAGGGGTGCTCATTTACAATCATTGTGAAAGTAGGGTTTGATGTGCCGTTGGCTGGGCACACTTGGAATTACTTTGATGGTGGACGAGTAGATGTGCATGGAGAGATAGATATACTTGTTGACGACTCGTTGCAAATAATACAAAACACACTACTATGCTGCGCATGTTCTGGGTGGGTCGAGGGCATAATCGATAAGGTCTATCTAGATATTTACTAAAGGATTTTATGGGCGCCTCACTATTTTTATCAAGGTTGTAGGAGTTACCTCCCTTGCCGGCGGCCCAATTAGAGATTGATATACTTAGGTGTGTACGCAACTATGACTACTACTCGGGAGCTCAAGCAGATCGCCAGACAGCGGGGTGTAATTGGTTATTCTCGAATGACCAAAACCACAGTTGTTGAGATTACTTAACATACAAGCACCTCCCACGGTAAAACGACTAAAACTCGAGCAAAAGAGCTTGGGTTCACGGGGTTATTCCCGCCTGGGGAGAGCCAGGTTAGTCGCATTGTTATAACATGACCCCGTAGCAAAACCTCCCACTGTAAAACAATTAAAAGCCGAGGTACGCGATTTGGGGTTAGGTGGTTATTCCCGTATGAGGAAGCCACAGCTTGTAGAACTATTACGGCAGAATAGAGCTATTGACCTACAGTTCATACCCACTGAGCGTGCTGTAGGTAACTATTTGAGAGGCTGGCGCATGCATGTTGATAGTAACATAGACATCACAGATATCAAGCTTCTGATCGCTGATAAAGTCAGTCAGGAACTAAACAATCTGGGAAGTATAAAGTTTCAGATCACAGTGAAAATGTCACCCGATAAGCAGGTGGGGACTGGGGTCACTGAGTACGTTCAGCCCTTACTTCTGAGGTAAACAGGAAGTCGTGACTCATACAGAGACCACAGACGCATCAATTGATACCAGTTTTCAGCAGATGCATGAGAATACCTAGGCGCTACACACACATGGGGTCGGGTGGGTTGTTGATAAAATCGATAATGTCTATCTCGACATAGCTAACTACGTGCCGTTCAGAGGCGGGTCATACCTAGACTTGCCCCCTACTATAAGAAAAACAGGCCATGGTCAACGTCAAGAATAGAGGAGACGATTGCCTGAGGGTAGCTATCAGGTCAGCCTTGTTTCCAGCTGACACTAATTCGAACAGGCTTTCTAGCTATCCCAAAGACGATGGGCTCAACTGGGATGGTATAGAGAACCCACCCCCATATCTCAGAACACTAAAATAGAAAAACAGAACGATATAGCCATAAACGTATTAGGGCACGAAGGTAACACAACAATAGTACACAGGGTCAGCCCAGTGTTGGGGAAACCCAACTGTTGGGTCGTCGCGTGATCAATATGTTCATGACCCAGCGAGGTAAAAAGTATCACTACACGTGGATAAAGCATCTCAGCAGGCTATTGCATGACCAATCGAAATACGATGGGAAAAAACACTTTTGCATACGATGCCTACATGGCTTCACACGAGCTGATTTATTAGAATCCCACCGGGAGGATTGCCAAGGTGTGGGGCAGACGGCCATACGAGTCGACATGCCTAAGGAAGGTGACAATATCCTAAAATTCGGCAACCACAAGAACCAAATGTCCGTGCCTTATGTCATATACGCCGACTTTGAAGCCTTGGTCAAACCCGTTGAGGTTGCCGGGGGTACCCCCACAGGTGAGAGCTTCACACACAAAACACAGGAGCATGAGGCCTGTGGGTTTGGATACGTGGTCGTCCGGTGTGATGGGGAAACGAAAGCTCCCGTAGTGTACAGGGGTCCCGACGCGGCTGAAAAGTTTCTAAAGTGTTTGCAGGAGGAAGAAAAAACTATCAGGAATGCACTGTATACAGTCGCTCCCATGCGTATGACCAAAGCTGACTGGCTAGCCCACGCCTGTAGCACTAACTGCCACGTGTGTGACTCACCCATAACGGTGATTCAGTGAGAGATCACTGCCACGTAACTGGTAAGTATAGAGGCGCCGCTCACAGCACGCGTGTAACCTCAAGCCTAGAATCACCCCAAGACAATAAACATCCCCGTGGTCTTCCACAACTTGAGAGGGTACGACTCTCACTTGATCATGCAGGCCATCGCGAAAGTCGACGGTAACCTGACGTGCATCCCCAACAACATGGAGAGATACATCTCCTTCAGCTTAAACGGCCTGAGGTTCATTGACTCGGTTCAGTTCCTCCTGTCGTCACTCGACAGTCTGGTCAAGGCCAACGATACCTTCCCCATCACTGATCGATACACCTGACGCCGAGACTCGACCCCTGCTGATGAGGAAGGGTGTGTACCCCTACGAGTACATGGATGGCTGGGCCAAGTTCGCCGAGACCCGACTACCCCCATCAGAGAATTTTACAGCAATCTGACCGACTCGACAATATCCCAAGACGATTACTCGCACGCGATTAACGTATGGAATAAACTGGGCTGTAAGAATCTGGGTGACTATCACGACCTGTACTTGAGGACAGATGTACTGCTGCTAGCCGATGTGTTTGAGACGTTTAGGCGGACGTGTTTCAAGCAGTATCAACTCGACCCCGCATGGTATTACACCAGCCCAGGTCTGTCGTGGGATGCCTTGTTGAAAAAGACCGGAGTTAAGTTGGAATTGCTCACCGATTACGACATGCACCTATTCATTGAGAAAGGCTTGCGAGGCGGGATTTCCATGGCAACCAAACGATACGCGAAAGCAAATAATCAATACGTGAAGGGCTACGACCCGAGCAAGCCAACCAATCATATTCTCTACCTCGATGCCAACAACCTGTACGGCTGGGCCATGAGCCAGTATCTACCCACAGGGGGATTCGAATGGGCATCGCACGAGGTCGATGTTATGAGCATCGCGGACGATTCTAACAAAGGTTATATCCTCGAGGTGGACTTGGAATACCCCAAGGCATTACACACATCACACAACAGCTACCCCCTGGCCCCCGAACGTATGAGGGTTAGCTTGAACTGACTGGATGTCTGAGTACCAACATAACTTGTTAGGTGGGCGGGTGACAGACGTTGAAAACTCGTGCCCAACTTAATGAATAAGACCAAAGTACATCGTTCACTATCGCAACCTACAGCTGTACCTGTCGTTGGCTATGAGGCTGACCAAAATACACAGGGCGCTCGTGTTCAACCAGAGCCCCTGGATGGAACCATACATCAGAATGAACACAGACCTCCGAAAGCTTGCCACCAGTGACTTTGAGAAAAATCTCTACAAGCTCATGAACAACTCGGTGTTTGGTAAGACTATGGAGAACCTGAGGAAATGCGTGACCGTGAAGCTGGTTCGGTCGAATGAGGAAGACAAGCTCAGGAGACTGATAGCCAGCCCGGCATTCAACCGTAGTAGCAAGATATTCACCTGGTTGCCCTACACATGAAGAAAAGCCACATAAAATTCAACCGGCCTGTTTACGTGGGGATGAGCATCCTCGATTTATCCAAACACCTGATGTACGACTTTTACTACAACGAACTGAAAAAACAGTACGACGACAGGTGTGAAGTGCTGTACACTGACACGGATTCCCTGCTGATGGAGATTCGAACCAAGGACGTGTACGAGGACATGAAAAAACGCCTCGATTTGTATGACACCAGCGACTACCCCAAGGACCATGCCATACACAGCACGGTAAATAAAAAGGTCCTAGGTAAGATGAAGGACGAGTGTGCTGGCACGCCCATAGCCGAGTACATAGGTTTGAGGCCTAAGATGTACTCAATCCTGAAGGCCGACAATGGTGAGATCCGGAAGGCTAAGGGTGTTAAGAAGTACGTGGTGAAACAACACATCAAACACGCCAGATTCAAGGAAGCCCTGTTCAAGACCCGTACCTTCAGGCATAAAATGAACACGCTGAGAAGTGATGGGCATAGGATATACGGACTGACTATAAACAAGACGTCCCTGTCGCCGATGGACACTAAACGTTGGATAGCTATTGATGGGATAAACACGTACGCGTACGGGCATGAGAAAATTGAACCAAGAACATAGGTGTACATATCAGGGTGACATGTCACGGAACCAGAGAAAGTTTGAGGCTATTTACTACAGCCCGCGTGGGTACTGGAAAGGAGCTAGCGCTGTACATAAGCTGGCTAAAATGGCGCGAGTACCCCGGAGGAGGCCAAAGCGTGGCTTGAAAAACAAGCCCTGTGGCAGATCTATTTACCGGCACCACGCTACGTGCCTAGAAGGAAGTTCGGCATTAACATACCCAATAGCGTTCACCAGGCCGACCTCCTGTTCCTACCCCACGATAAGAGGTACAAGTATGCCTTAACTGTCGTGGATGTGGCCAGTCGCTACAAGGAAGCCGAACCCTTGACCGCGAAAGACTTCGGCACAGGTAGCCCGAGGATATACATAACGCAGCCCACTGGACGTGGCCAATCAGAGCTGCAAGTTGACCCTGGGCGGGAGTTCATGGGTGCCATGTCTCACCTGCTGGATAAACACGACACCAAGGTCAGGCTTGGTGCTGCCAGGTTCTCATCGCAGCCAAGCCATAGTTGAGAGATTCAATAGGACTTTGGCTGAGAGCTTATTCGGGCACCAGTATGCAAGAGAGATGGCCAACACGGGGAAACGATCGACTGAATGGGTCGCGCGGTTACCTCAGGTGGTGTCAGCCATCAACCATGAAGCCACTCGGCTCACTGGCAAGAAACCAGCAGACGCTATCAAACTAAAATCAATAGTGGCAGAGTCGGCTGCACCATTGCGTGGGAAAGAGAAACAGATACCAGATAGGGCCCCTCGTACCTATACCAGCCGGGGAACAGGAGGGTGGAACTCGGAAGCGAGCCACCGATCCTATGTGGTCAGTCAAAACTTACAACATAGATAAAAGTGGACATCAAAGCCGACGTGCCGAACTTTTATATTATCACTTTCATCAGACTGTAGAGAATGCACCCCAAGCAACGCCAGCGACGCCAGCAACGTCGACGCCAGCAACGCCAACCACAGCAGCTCCACGAACACTAACGATGGCAACTCCACAACAAACTCCGCCAACTCGAACAACGCCAGCAACACTACCACGCCATTCGTTTATGAGCAGGTATAATCAGCAGAAAGTTTCGAAACCAGGTGACTCAGTCCAGAAACTGTTTGTTTTACGCAATGTGCAGCTGATGATTTTGAACAAGTACTTTTCTAACCTTCACCTAAAGTCATAGACTTGTCTTGTACGTCTTGTCTCGTCTGTCATTCGTCTATTTTGGACAACCTGTTTTGTGCCATGAGTTTGCTGCTGTTGCTTCATGTGACTGTACTTTGGTATGAAACTAGATGATTCATACTGATTGTCAAATTATTATATTTAACACATGAAATGACAACACTCGTATTTTCATTAATGGTCCATAAAACTATATATCTTCCTATTATTCCAAAATCATGGTGCAAGACTAGATAAAGTTATTTATATCATTTCTGCTAAGGGTCTTTCTAACTGTTTACGACAATTGCCTTTCGTTTACAGATCGACGGTACAGATATGTACTCGGAGTTAACAGGTAATTCTATTGCTAATATATAGAACGTTTGTTCAGTATTTCAGTCTTAAATAAAATATTCTTTATTATCCCGGTGAAATGAATGAGGTCAGCCAGGTGTTTACCTAGGTCAACAAAATGGCGTATTTGTGCTATACCCCCCTGTGTCATCGGTTCCCAAATGCATAGATAAATGCTCATGCTGTTGATCACTGGATTGTCTCGATTATTTACATACCGCCGCCATATAGCTGGAATATTGCTGAGTGCAGTGTAAAACTAAACTCACTCACTCATTTCCATCTTATCTCGCCTACTCCACAATGATGATTGTTATAGCCATGTAGTCCTTTAATAGCATCATTATTTTACAAAATACTTCTGAATCTGATTAATTAATTAGAATAAATACTTAACCACAAGGGCCCTAAATTGATGATGAACACAACCAGCATTACCCAGACATGTTACTTTCTTACTTTTAATGATGAAGATATCAGCAACAACGAAAACAATACATAATATATATTTTATGTATATATTATATGTCTTAGATGACGAAGATTTCATTGACTCTGGAACACCGACAGTGCTTTTCCGATCTAGCCATGTTTCAAATAGGATCGACCCAGCCACACCATCTACGTCGTCGTATAGCCCCGTCGCAAGTTCACCGACCCAAGATCCTCCTGATACTGGATATTGTATAATAAAAGAAAACATTATCGTAATTGGTGAGGCATATTGCTGTTTAAAAATTAATTTCTAAAGATAAAGTGATCAACTGTTGCCTTACATTTCTTCATTTCTTTTGTTTCCATAGAGATAAATCGGGATTGAGTAACCTCCTGTACGAAATAACGAAAGCCTTGTGGCTGGCATCCTCAGTGATGGCAATTAAGTGCTTAACTTTGAGGATGTTGGTTCGAATATTGCATGGGATCGATACTATTACAGGCAGCGTAATATCAACTAGTTATATAACCATTATTCTTGTTTTGCTTTTAATATTCTAGTAACAGTTTAAACTAATTGAGAGGTAACGTAAATACAACATATCGGAATCATATCCACTTGTAGAGATGAGACTCAAGAAAGCATTCTCATTCGCCTCGGGTCTAAAATCAACACAGAGGGACGGAAGAACATCATTAATGTGTCGAGGGATGACCTTCTATCTGGAGCCAAGCGTGGATTTCAAAGGGCATCCTTTAAAGAAGAAAGTCAGCTCAGTGTTAGATTTTCGGGCGAGAATGGGATTGACGATGGGGGGCCGTCCAGGGAAATCATGAGACTTGCTCTTCGAGAGCTCCGGGACTCCTGTATTTTCACAGGTCCACCTGACAGTCGGAACATCCAGGTTGATGTTGCAGGTATATGCCTTAACAACAAACCTTAATACAAAAATATAATACTTATATAAGTCTATAATATCTATATAAACAGCGAATCTGAAATGAAATATCTAAACACTTCCATTTAAATATTCTTGAATAAACAGAACAAAGACATATTTCGCCAGAAGAGATGTGTATGGTTCGATTAGTACCAAATTTTGTAGCATAGATAGGTAAAGGTGTCATGATTTGACACAGAGCATATACCCAAATATAAAATCATTGCAATATTGAATCAAGACAAATACAGTGATCTTTAGTTTTGACTTTACGATGAAAACTGATAATGAACTCCAGTTGTATGGGTTTGGACAAGTCATGGATTGGAAAATCGGGCAATAACCTATTGTGATGCAGTTGTACTGCTATTGATCTCTAATCACTGATTTCATGTTCAACATATATTACTCCTTTTTTAAGTAAACTAGTCAGTTCTATATTTTTACAGCCGAGGAGAAAGGCAGGATATTTTATGGCAGGACGTATCATTGCTTACATCCTTATCCATGGCGGACCACTCCCTCGCTTCTTTTCTCCATAGACTTATTCCATGTTAATTGGAACACCAACAGTGTCACCTGATGACATTGATGACCCGGATTTAAAAGAAAAAGTGCAACGGGTAAAGAATACGAATAATTTTTGTCGTTGTAAATTGTTATTGATATACTGCATACGTCACATACAAAAATTAATAAAGACATGTTTGGATGTATGTATGTATGTATGTATGTATGTATGTATGTATGTATGTATGTACGTATGTATGTATAGTGATGTATGTAAATGTGTATGTACGTATGTACGTATGTATGTATATTGATGGTAAAAAGTTAAGCAACCCCATAATTATCACTTTATGCCAATTTCACTGCTAACGCTTAATAACGACTCGCATATTGGTGTATCTCTATCAACCAATACTCCAAAGATACTAAACGTCATTACAAGACAAACTCCAGTCATTATGGTGTACTTTTAATTTGCATAATGTTGAAATGGTAAATTTGTAGGCAAATATAAATCTAACAAAATTTGGGCACACAGGAAAACTTTTAAGTGTAAGGTGGGATATGTGAGTGTTCATCACAAACTGTAAGGTATGGACTGTTTGATGACACAGTTTTCACAAGTCAAAATTTACATAATGACCCTCAGTAATGGGTGTATAACCTCAGCTGTTTATCACCTCCTGACATCTTCGCCTTATAGAGAGCACTAGATTACGCATAAATCTCATTGGTAACTTGTTTAAAGCATTCAGTACAGCATTTCTAAGCTGTACCGAGGTCAGAGTTGGCCAGTAAGTTGGTCAGAGGTTGATCACACCGGTTTACTTGTCTACACGTCTCATCCCATGCATGCTCTATCGGGTTGAGATCAGGACTCTGAGATGGCCAATGAAGGAACTCAATGATGTGCACTTGTTTGGCTTCCTGAACAACTATAAGCGCGATGTCGGCGAGCATTGACATCTTGGTAAATGAATGTTTGTGTCAGGTATGGCGTGAAGGAAAGGAATAACTGTCTTTTGATAATCTCACTGTGATACTTTAACCCTGTCATTGTTCCTTGACAACCTTGATGTCCACCTTCTCGTCATATGTGAATACAGCCCATACCATGATGGAGTCGCCGCCCTCAGCGACAGTTGGAAGGACACACTCCATGACCAGGTTCAGCTCATCCTTGGTTGACACGTAAACAACCGTCGTACACACCTTGATGTGCAAGTTGTTGCGTGACTCATCCGTCCAAATTAGTCGTCGCTAAGTTCGAATGTTCCAGTTTTGACGTTGTCTATCCGTGTGGTCTGTCTTGCATATGCCTAGGTGTCAGACGTGGGCGTTTGAGTGGTCTTCGAGCCCTTAATCCAGCTGCCACAAGACGTTTAATCACTAACTCACGTAGCACGTTGACGCCTGTTGATTGTGTCCATTCTTGGCATAACTGGTAAGCTGAACGAAAAGGATCACATGAACTGGTCTTCCTAGGTTCGATCATGACGAGGTCTGTCCTTCACATCACCCCATGTTTGGATAACAATCTGCTGATCACCGACTTAATGTGCTCTGAAATTTGTCTTAGGTGCAAGTCGGCAGTACCTTCGCGGATTTCACTATCCACGTGCAGCATGATATCTGGTATCATTCTGTTGGGTGTGTTTGAGTGAAGTGTCTATGTATCTTTTAATGTGCAAACACATTGGGTACAAATGTAATCACCTACGAAGAATCAACATGTACATTGCTTAACTAAAGTCTTTTTACCATCTGTATATAATGTGAAAGCTCTTATTTTAGATCGCGGATGCCACGGATGAAGCAGGATGTTTGGAGGCGTTGGTATGTGTGCAGGACATAGTGGATTTCATAGGTGCCCTGGCCTTGTCAAGATATGTAAAACAGAAGGAACTTGTGCAGGCGTTGACAACGCATATCGTTGTAAAGAGAATACGGGACATCATTGAACAGTAAGCAACGAGTAGTGTCTTGTCTTATTATTTATTTGCCAGTGTTCTATCAGTTATATACACAGAAGTAGACACCGTGGATACAACTTGTTATAATGACTAGTCAAGCCACGTAACAATGTCACCACGGCATCAGTACCAACTTTATGACACTGTAACTCGAGCTGTAGTTTCGGAATGAACAGAAACACTACTAAATTGATTCCGTTTCCTAAAGAACATAAATTATGCCATACACACCATATTTGTCTTTTTGTAGATAAATACCATATCTATCTCATAAAGTAAGTTTGCTAATTTTCATGTTTGGGCCTTGTACTGATGATGTGACATCCTAGCTTGCACAAATAAGTCTTTTGCGATTTGTTACCAAAAGAGAATCTGTTTTTTTTATGTTGGACGACAGAGGGGTTTGTCATCTCCTGATCACTCTTATTTTATATTGTTTGAATGTGTGTAGGTTCAAGGATGGACTTCGCACCCCTGATGTACTTAACCAGATGGAAACGTACCCAAGAACAATGAAAGGTTTCTTCACTGCAACAGACAGACCTGAAGTTGATGCAGTGCAAGTGGACAGTCTGTTTACTATCATCTTCACTGCAACAGACAGACCTGGAGTTGATGGAGTTGATGCAGTGCAAGTGGATTCAGTCTGTTTACTGTCATCTTCACTGCAACAGACAGACCTGGAGTTGATGCAGTGCAAGTGGACAGTCTGTTTACTGTCATCTTCACTGAACCTGGCAGCAATCATTTCCAACAGGAATTGAAAACACAGGTTCACTGGAGAGATTTTCTGCAAGATTTAGAAGGTTCGTGCAGCTGTAGCCACTTGTTGCAACGTTTTGTGTAATAATATATATATGCATATATATATATATATATAATAATATTATATATATATATATATATATATATATATATATATATGGCAAGCAATACACACACACACACATATACCTACATACTCTTAATTGTTTGTTTTATTGGATAATGCACTAAATTCATACCACCAAATGGGAAGAATCATTAAAACTATTTCTTCAATAATATTAATAGAACTGGGAATTAAATTAATTAACATTGGCATATAGATTCTCAACAAACACGATTTAACTGGAGATGCGAGGGTTAGTCAAAACGTTCTAGGCCCAACATAGACGACGAACTCTTTGGTCACATTTTATTATTTTATTTTTCCGCATAATCAGTACTCGTTTACAGCAGCTTTCAGTTCTTCATTATCTACACAGCATGTTCCACGGATATGTTCTTTCAGCTTTTGAAAAGGTGGCAGTCACTTGGAGCCAAGTCATGTGATTATGGAGGATAAGGAAGCTGATGTACAGCATCCCTTGTAAGTAGGGAGGTGTTATACGAGGCATTATCATGTTAAGTCAGAACTCCAGCCCACAATATACCTTTAATAGAAGCCCTCAATCTGTTGAGTAACACAGTATAGTAGGTACCAGCTTCTGGCTCTCCTCTCCAGGTAGTGAACATGGATGATTCCCTCCGCATCCCAGAACACAGAGGCCATAACTTTCTTCACTGACCTTGAAGATTTGAACTTGGAGAGGATGAGAAGTTGGGTGGAGAAGTGTGGTGGTGACACTCCATGGTTTGACGTTTTGACTCCGGATCGAGATCCATGTCTCATCCCCTGTCACTAATCTACTTTTAAGATCATCAAAATCTTGGTCAATCAATTCTAAATGTTCCTTTGAAATATCTTTTTCTTCAAATAGGCATTAAGACACTTGGGGACCCATAACGCGGATATCTTGTTCATGAACAAATGGTCATGAATAATAGTGTGAATTGATCCTTGGCTAAGACTTGTTTCTTGTTCAAGTTCTGCAATAGTCACGTAGGAATGCAAGAATACGATTTTGTCCACAGCCTTTACTGAGATTCAATCTTCATTAACGGCTGTTGAGGGACGTGCACCCCTGCGGTCATCATCTAAGCTCTTCCTGCAGCCCATCGCGCTTAACAGTGGAATATGAAGGACAATCATCCCCATACACCTTCAGCAAACATGCATGCACCTCCGATGGAAGACAACCTTTCAGAGTCAAGAACTTGATAGCAGCACGATGCTCATTCTCTCCTATTACAGTAGAACTATACTGGTCCCTATATGTTTCAGGGACCTGTTGCGTTCACTCGAGTTGATCAATGGAATAAAATACATTGAAATGTTTTTATCTGATCTATTAAGTGCAAAAGATTTAAAAACTCCAGATGCATAGAAGTTATGTAGGCCTAGAACTCTTTGACCAGCCCTCGTAACAACGGTTAGTGAAATAATTTGACTTGTTTCATTGCATATAAATAACATCGTTACAAAATTGTTACGAATACAACCTTTTGTATTTCCCTAAGAAATGAAAATTACTTCTTACTTTTGTGAAATTTAATAGCAAATTACATTAGATTTTTTAAAGCAATTCACAATAATTGCCCGTATCTGCATCGGGGCATACGATTTACTAAAATGAAAGTATATATTTAGTCACGATTCTTTTATTTTTTAGAAACTCAGTCACTGGGAAAACTCCTAGCGTTTGTGACTGGTCTGGACGAAGTCCCACACTTGGAGCTTCTGGCCCCAACGGAGACTGGAGTTCTCCCATCCAGGGATCGACTCCTACGACGGCACAGCATATGCCAACACATGTGCCAATTCACTGAGGGTCTCCAGTGCTTCAAGTATACCAGACCTTCAAGGAAGTGATGATGCTTTCCTTGGAAGTTGGAACTGTCTTCACGAACGCATAATTTGTGAGAGAAAAACTCTTAGTTAAGATTATTATTTGGTTACATTAATCATAAGAATATTCTTAAATCATGAAAACATTTCTTTGTAACAGGCCATAGTATACCCTAGACCAAACTATGCCCAGGGTTAAAACGGCCTAGGCTAGAATATACCCTGGGTATATTATGTCCTAGGCCAATTTATACTCCGGGGACCAATTCATACCTCACAGGACAGATTATACCCCCCAGTATAGCCCAGCTAAGATATACCTGGGTTAAGGTGACCTGGCCTTGGCCTGACTCCCATCTACTTTTCCCAGGTCAGAAGATTATACCCTATGATGTCAGAAGTGTTTATTATACAGACTTTTATAACTTCAACAAGGGAAGCCACAATCAATAAAAACAAAAGATCAAAGATCACTACTACACTTATCAGTAGTGTTTACGCATTAAAAATAAAAATATTCCCCAAACAACGTAAGACAGCTGTGAAAAAAAAAGTTCATAATGTGATAACATGTATAATGTGCTGGAACTTCAGATTCCAAGTCCTCACTACTGTATATGTAAAATACAAAGTTTAACGCTGATAACAATATCAAAATGATCATGATCACAACCCAACATTCTGTGTGGCAGTGATGGCAGATTGTACATCTACTGGGAATACTTCTGTGGTGTTGCAGTGTAAAACGTAAAAGTTTGTGCATTAAAGTTGTTCTTCCAGAGTTGTCAAAGGTGTACAACTGTAGGAGTTTGGTGCCAAACACTACTGTCTGTCTGTGTGTGGAACTGAGCACACTGTCACCATACATTTGATTGCATCATTGCTATTTCTATCTACTTTCGCTTCCTGGCTGTGTAACAGCAAGATGTTTTTCATTTTAATACAATTAAGTTCATAAGTGGCATTTGTCATCTCGTGAAATACAATGATGTTTTTGAATGAGAATAAATGCAACTATAATAGCATTTTATTAAAAACTGTATTAACCTTTTCCCCAATAGAATTTAGCTGTTAATATGTTGATCCGTAAGACTGTGATACAAAGGACAGTAGATATGGTAGATTTACAGGGTTTTTGTTGTAGTGTTACATGTTTATAAAAATACATTAATGTGCCATACCAAATGTTTGCCCAGTTGTAAACATGAAGGAGTAAATATACTGTGTAAATACAGTCAAAACCTTGTTGCACAAGATGAGTATACTCTGACCTGGAGGGCATAGTCTAGCCCTAGGCTGTTTTACACACCGGGTATAGTTTGGCATAGGGCAGTGTATTTCCCAGGTATTCTCTGGTCTGGGCCAAACTATACCCGGGTTTAATAATGGGAAGGGGGCTAATGTGGCCTGTTACACCTGTATATAAACACATAAAAATCGTCATGATTTAAATACAATGTGAAGTGGAATTGGATGTATGTTCTCCAAATTCATTTGTATCTTTCATTTGGTGTGATTATGTGTGCTAAAGTAGCATTGACGATACTCTCCCAGCTTATGGTTGGTTTTGCGAGTCCTTTTAAGTTCATTTTACTGTGACAGAAAATAAGGTCACATGATAACACACATATTATAAGTTATATTTTACAAGTTTACGTTTTACGGAATACCTCCTACATTTTACAGTTAAAAGTGTAGTGTTAATTGTGTATCAGCTCTTGGGTTAGGAAACCTATCTGAACAGATATGATGTTCTTTGCAATAGATGTTGCATAGGTATTGAAACATTCAACTTCCAAACTGTTTGTATCATACTTTAAAGGTCGAAAAGGATATGTTCATTGTTTTATCAGGATATCATAATTGGTCTTTCTTAAACACAAGTAAAAAGTGTCTCACTGGAAATGCTAATGTGAATATGGCGGTTGTTGCTTATCGTGCAATATATTAAAGTACACACGCACTAATATTGTTTTTTTTTTATTGGGTCAAATGATGAGAGTCCTGCATAACAAAAAATGGTATGTTGACTTTATGTTTTACCATATATGACTCGATATTACACAAAGAAATGAAAGATATCGAGTTAGTTTCCCAATTTCTGAAATAACCAATTGTAAAGTTCAAGTCCTTCATGTGCTGTTTGAGGCATATGTCTCCCAAACTGATGGATCAGTACATGGCACAGATTATTGAACTCTGGTGAGCATCCTCTGTCAAGGGGTCGAGTGGTTGTTAACAGTTCAGCTGCCCTGATGTCGTCAACCGACGCCGGGAATTTATAATCATGTGTTCCTTAAAATAAAAGCAAAATTGTCTGTGTATATATTTCGAAATATTAACTAAATATATTTAAGTCAAACTACAAATTAGAGTAGTATCAGATACAACTTCCACAACATCCCTCTTCAAATATTGAAACAAATATTTAGAACACCTGTTTGACCTAAGAAGTTTTCACAGTTCTAGTTCAGCACCCGTATTGTCAGACAGTTAATGTTAAATTTTAATGTAATTCAACACTGTCCTACCATATACTTCCGGCATGAAGAACATGATGTCTGGCTTCCCATGGGGACTCTCAGCGTTACGCATCCTTCTTACCCTGTGCTGATTCAAGTCAATGGAAATGTGGTTCAGTTCCTCTTGAATTAGATCAGTGAAACAGAACCTTAAGCATTCACTGAAATAAAGTTAAAAATTCTACTTTGTAAAGTTTTACATGGATTTTCTTTTAGGATTGATTTTGTTAAAAGACTTGTTAGAAACCTACTATTTCAATATTAAAATATATGCAAATGGACAGAAAAATAAGACATTTATGTTACACAGATTTCTAAACAAATTGTTATGGGCGATACGTCATCAGCCTCGTCAGTAAATTTATATTTTTATTTATATTAATTAACTATTCGTATTCATAATTCATTTTGCGTACATGTGCAAACGGTTGGATGTAATGACACAGCCTTCCTGAACTTTGTCCTTGAAGAGGTCGATCCAGTAGGCTATCCCTCCACATCGCTATGTTCTCCACCATCGTTTAATCCTCTTGGGACAGAAAGAAAGCGCAAAAAATACATAGCTTGTATCGAAAGCTGAAACATTTACAGGTTGTACTCAGTTAAACGTATTCACCAGAAACACAGAACAAATAACTTCTCACGGACAATTGACAATTATAATGTCGCACTTTACAGATACTACTATAATTAATTCAATGATCAAATACAAAACTTACAACCAGCCAAAACCCCAAACCCTCGTCATTATTTAGTGAAAGAAGGTGTCTGAACAATTTTATGTTATTATTCACTCTACATTCCTGAGCTAACGTTCTTGAATCTTAACAATATTATGAAACTGGTTGTATTTCATTTCCTTTAAAAGCTCACTTTTCACTGCAACATACACATTACTCCACCTAATTTTGACGAATGTATATGCTTGATTTTAGTAATCTTTTACGATATGCCCACTTGTACATTGATTAAAATGCCACAACACAACATGCATTTTTAGCAAAATGCATACGTGTTACAACAGATTGCAGTTGTCGAGTGTGTTACTTTTCAAGTTATAACAGTGTAATATGAAATGTAAATAACGACTATTCTAATTTGAAGATATGATTACATTTAACCACACATAAACACAGGCATGTACATCTGCGTGCTTTACGTTATGGTAAATCCGTATTATCAATTACCTAGTAGCTGAAACAAATTGTCAGTTGGGGTTGCGGATGTCTGCCTGTTTCATAAACGGTCATTAACCTGGTTTTGTGTGGGATGATCCTTTGATCACACTCCGGTCTCCACATCTTTCATCCCCGTGGAAGCAAACGCCTTTGTATATTTTCAACTACACCATTCTCTGTCCCTTCGTCCATCTTGATACACCTTGGTACACCTGCATAGTAGTGTCAAACAGTATGAGACAACTAAAACATGGGCTATGTGAGAAATCAAAAGTTGACAAAGAGACTTTGTAACTGCTAACATTTATCCAAAATAGCAAAATAAATCACGAAGGCAACATCCTCAACAATAGAAGTCATCAGCAAACCTGATGTTTCTATATATTTTTTAAAACAAATTGTTAAAAAAACATTTCCATAGAGCTCTACTTGTTCAAACTATGGCCACCTTTTTACCTTGTATCTCTTTCAGGTAGTCCAAAATAGGAAGCAATGACCCTGGGTCGTTGTTTGTGTTTGACACCCCTCAACCAAAGGATTCGTCTTGAGTAACTTAAAACAGAAGTGAATTCAATTACTGTGAGAGAACTAATGAAACAATGTTATTTTGTTGTTGTCTTGACACAGGTTGTGGTTTTAAACAATATTGTCTACAAACTTTACACATAATTGCGGATAATCGAAAATAGGATATATGTTCTCACCCATCCATGCATCCATGAATCGCAAAACCATAGGGCTTCAGTTTATCATATCCATCAAGATGGATCAAAAGTTTGGCCCGCATTGCGATAAACCCGCCTTGAAAGCCGATGGTACCTTCGAAGTTGCACCCTTCAGGATCCAATTCATGCTGAATTTGGAGAATGGCATCCCTGATAAAGATAAGAACTGTAAGTACGTCATGGTACATATTCACAGAATTTCTGATACTAAACTGATGCATTTGAGTTGTTTATATGTTGTACCTCAGAAGATGTCATTGAGGCTAACACGTGTATGTATTCTGAACAGCGAAGAAATAACGACATGCTCCAGTTCAAGATACAGAAGTATCATGTTAAATGTTTTATTACATATCATCATTTGATTACGTACAGTAACTTTTATTTATGTAAACCTTTCCTGTTACAGAACAGCGTATTTACCTAGTTCATTTAATTGACGTCCTACCTACCTCCAACTCCTAATTTCAAACATGTACTTTTTAATGACTACGAGTCCATGTAACACACTTTAATGACTATGAGTCCATGTAACACACTTTAATGACTACGAGTCCATGTAACACACTTTAATGACTACGAGTCCATGTAACACACTGTAATGACTACGAGTCCATGTAACACACTTTAATCACTACGACGAGTCCATGTAACACACTTTAATCACTACGAGTCCATGTAACGCACTTTAATCACTACGAGTCCATGTAACGCACTTTAATCACTACGAGTCCATGTAACACACTTAACGTTCACTGTTATACAAGTTAGGGTTATTTTAAACTTGACACTAACAATAACAATTATTTTACAAAAAGTTCAGTGGGAAAAAATACTTTTGTTTTCACATTTATATCTACAATTGATGTAGTTAATTATGTGAACGTGTGAAATATCTGTTAAAACTAAGTTCGGCCTAACTACATTCACATGCTTAGGGAGATAGGAAACGTGAAAAAGGACTTTGCTGAGGAGTGATTAGTGCAGAAAGTCCAAAGCGACGTGTATATGGGACAGACCATGGCTTTATGCAAATTAGTGTGCGATGATATTGTATTACAAAAAAACGATTTTTAAATGCCCATTTTAAAATTAGACTTAGCTTCGTAAGAAACGATAGCTGACGTAAAATAATAACGTTAATGCTGAAACTATTAAAGGGGTGTAGCTACCACGAGTCTCACTATCACTATGTTTCACACTGTGTTGTGTGCAATCATGACTTGATATGACAGGGTATATCATAGAACTAGTGCAGTCCTGTGCCTGCTATATGGGAAGGTGTATTTAGTAGTAAAACAAAAATAGTCCAAGAGCCCGGAGGTGATTGTTGTACCGAGAGAGGCCAAAAGGTTTGAACATGTTTTCTGATGTAAAATTGCCTCAACGAATCCAAAAAATTCAGTCTTAAAATCAAAGCTGTGGCTTTAGCCCATATAGGCATTCACGAATGTGTGTTATTGATGGAATGTTTGTCATGCAGTCTCTTTCAAACCCTCCTTCTCAAGATATGAAGACATTGCTAAGTTCATCATGCAGATACTCTGCAAACATGGAACCCGAGTAGAATTTGTGTGCATGACACTTATGCCAGAGTCCATCAATAAAGGACACTGAGTGAAGACAGCGTGGAGCTTCTGCAGAAGGCACTGTGGTCAGTGGTCCAGTCAGAACAGGCATTCAAATTAACAAATGCATGATGTTTTAATTCATACTTCTTCCGATTTTTGGCAGATGAATGGAGAGGTAACATTTTAGGACTCCATAAGACTTTACTTGAGAGATACATGTTGTGTGTTTACCGCTAATCAAGGAACTGTTGTGGGGACTGTTCTTCCTCAATTTCAATATACACCTGATATTCAACTTGTATGGTATGAGTGTGTTTTAGTTTTACTCCACTTTTAGCAGTATTCCAGCAATATCACGGCGGGTGACACCGGAAATGTTCTTCACAGATTGTACCCATGTGAGGAATCAAACTCGAGATCTTTGAGCGAAAACACATATTTACCCCACCGTCCCATTATGTGTGAAGGACCACATCTACTTAAATGCATCACAAGACAAACGAGTAGCTTTTTTCAGACCCTGAAGAATCTCAGATGAGGTTGATGCTGGAGGAGGTGACACTGACTCTTATACTGATGATGAGTATGATCTGTGATGAGGGAAGCCCATGCATTCAGAAATACAAAATATGAATGTGAGAAGTCTCATTAACGGTTTTGATTACTATTACAGAAATATAGTGACAATTGGTACAATTGTCTCTCCTTTTAATAAGAGAGCATGGTTTTGGACGCTTCTATCTTCTATAACGTCAGCTGTGTGTGTGGGTGCATGCGTGTGTGTTTTACTTGCCTGATGACCTGTGTTGTATCATGAAGAAATGTTGCTGATTTATTCCACTTTAAAAAGTGTCTTATTTCGTGTACGAACACTCAAAAGCAATTTCTAACTATTTCTGAAAACCGTATTTACAGAGTTATCTCCAATTAAGTGATTTTGTAGAATTACCCCTTACCTTTTCTTTCTTAGATAAAACACTATCCTTTGATTTGTAAGACTGAAATGTTTGGATTCGTGGAGGCAATTAGAATACAAGTTCAAACTTTTTTGGCCACTCTGGGGCCAAAAATCACCCCTGGCTCTTGGACTATAAAACAAACAGGGTAGGAGGGGTTGTGAATGCAGATTTTGTTTTCAATACTAATACTGCAAATTGTTTTCATAATTTTCTTTTCCAAAATAGTTTTCTGTGATTACATTTCAATTATATTCTAACAAGTTACCCCAAAATAAGGAAAGAATTTCATTTGCCTTTTCATGTAATTCATTTTCATAAGAGCCTAGCAGAAAGTTTAGAGGTGCTTGAGCATTGTTTGGTCATGTGACCCTAAAAAAGCATGTGCAGTTCATGTAATCCAGCCACATGGCACAACAGTTGTAAAGCCTGATGATGTACAGATGTGTAAATGTTGACAAGATTGTTGGAACACAGATGTACGTTTATTTTAAGTATATTTGAGGGTTATGTTTCAATTGTTAAGGTATTTGAGTAATGACGTATTTTGTAAATAGTTTTTGATCATGCTTATACTTATTGAATAGGATTTGATTGCAGAAAAATTCTATTCTAATTTCATGTTTTCATTTGAATTATTATTCAGCCACAATAACTTCTAACCTAGCAGTAATTATGCCTAAACGTTCTGCTGCTGTAAAGTAAGCAATTTGTTTGAGAAACTGTTTTAATGGTACCCTTTGTAAAGCATATTTAGTAAGGTATCTGTTGTTTCTTTTCTAGTTTCTAAACCTCGCCATTTAATAAACGTTGGTATACAGGCTAATGGAAGAGACCAGCTTAAATGTTACCATAATTCATGGATTTGTGGAGTATTGACAGCTGACAGTTTCTAACCGTCCCTTGACATGTGGACTTTAATGTCGTCAAGATTATATTGCCAAACCGTCACCAGTAACATCCAAAACCACAACGTTAACGATGGAAATATGGAATGAACATGACAACTATGCCTTGTACTGAATAAACTTTATATTAAATGGTGTGAGTCTTTCGGATCTGTA